GAATAAGAGAAGTTATTATTTTTGGGTTTGTATATAATAATCTAAATTCCCTTTTACAATATTCTATATACATGTATTTTGTTGGTGTTTGTATTAAACATGAAATTAATAGAGATTAAGGTATAATCCCAAGAGCATAAAGGAAGACAACTTTTACAGATTAGAAAGTAAACTTTATCCATTGAGGTCTAATTCATTCTTTATTATCGCTTAAAGCTTTAAACGATGTTACTAGATTGTATCTCAACTTCACATCTGAAAACTTCAACAAATGTTTCACAATTATGTTTTACCTTGTAAATTATAATTATAACTACTATATTTGTTAATAAAGTTTATTGGTATCTTTCTTTAAATCATAGACATTCACTAGAAAGGAAGTCATACATGTGTAGTTCCTTAATAATTATTTGGGTAAATTACACGGATGGTCCCTGCGGTTTAGGGTAATCTGGGTGTTTGGTGCCTAACAACTTTTTTCTAACTCGGATGGTCCCTACTTTATATTTCTGCTGCATGCTTGGTCCCTATAAAATGTAAAAAGACTACTTTGTCCTCATCTATTTTTTAAATTAATTTGTTATTTATTTATTTAAACAATGAAATATATTAAAATGAAAACTCATCCCCACCCCTTACCCCCCATCCCACCCCTCCTTATGTCCCCCCATCTGAAAACAACCTCCGACTATCACTACCACTAACCTCAGGTCACCTCCACTGGCCACAATAAGAACAAAACCAAAGTTCCAAAAGAAATATATAACATCTTAGCCTGGATAAGAAAAAGTGATGTTAAAATCTACAGACAAAAAAAAAACAGAAATTGGAATTAGAACTCTTCATGGCCCTCAACTCTCTCACTCACTTCGATTAGATCTCTTCATCCCTTTTGATCAAATCCAACCTCTAGTCATCGACACCAAATCCACTCATCATCTCTGACCAAAGGTCCAATACCACATAAATTACCCAAAAATTACCACAAAGCTATCTAGCGTTCAACAATAAATTTGAATATACATGTAAAAACAAACTATAACTCAAATTCAACAGCAAAATAAAACCTGAAAATGATGGTGAATTCTAGAAGAAAACCAGATTCAGGTGAAACCCGCTATCCTTTTAACAGTAGTAGAAGAACACACTTTGATGCCTTCCCCGCTTCACACCTATCCAATCAATGATGAATCCTAGAAATTAACCGTGGTGTCAAAGATCGGTGAAAATAAAGAAGATCGATGATGGCCAATCAATGTTTGAAACCTAAAAATCCAATCTAGAAACCAACAAGATCAATGATAAACCAAATCGTTTTTATTCCATGGTAGAGAAGGGGGAATTCAGTGTGGGAACAAATAAAGAACCCACTGATCTTCAGAAGCCCTAGAATTCATCTTGACCGTTGCCATAGTTTTTTTTCCCACGAACAGGAACAAAAACTGGTTGTTTAGAAACCCTAGTTCCCCTCGTCGACTGCCATGCTTGTGCTTTCTACAATTTCTGACATATAAGAATGAGAAAATGAGGTGTGAAAACCCTAGATCCCTTATGGTGGTGGTGGTTCACCGGAGAATATAGAAGTGGTAGTGTTGACATTTTGTTTGAGAAGGATAGGAAAACGAGGGAGCTGGTAGGTGGGGTTTTATGGGAGGGGATGAGGAAGTAGGACTACATATCTAATTAATATTTCTTTCATATATAATTAATATCATTTTAATAACTAATAATTTAAAAATAGTAAAAGAAATAGGTAAGGGTAAATTAGTCTTTTCAGAATGGATAGAGACTAAGCGTGCAACAAAAATATAAAGTTGGGACAGTCCGAGTTAAAAAAAAGTTTCTAGGGACCAAACACGTAGATTACCCTAAACCACAGGAACCATCCGTGTAATTTACCCTATTTATTTCTTCTACGGATTAGTGAAAATATGATTAGTAATCCGTCATATATATATATATATATATATATATATATATATATATATATATATATATATATGTGAAGGAATCTACATTATTTGAATTCAAAAATCCATTTCTTAAGTTGGAATATATGTATTTCATTTATATAATAAAGATTACAATGTCATAGATAAGTTTTTTTTAAAACAAGCTGAAGTCAAAAGTGCTTGCATATAGAACTTCATTTTATTTATAAAATATTGATATTTACTTTATAATTCTATTAACAAATCTATTCTAATAAATAGAAGTTAATCATTTCAGAGTATGAATAGTATCGTTATAAAAGCAATCAAGTAAATAATTAAACATTTAAATAAAATAATTGAGACATATATATTCAGACATGCTAAATTTAAAACATACATTGTTCGAAAAAACAATATTGTTTTATATTATAAGTAATTTATGTTCTAAGAATAAATAATAAACTAACCTCCTATAGTTTAGTTCCAACTTGTTTGTGCTCAGCTGGTTACAGTTCTGTAATATCTACAAACAGTTTAGAAATATTAGATTAACATTTAAGTACCAAGTACTTGAGTTTTATAAGAAAACTATAAGTTCTATCTAGTAGATACCTAAAGTATTAGTCTCTCGCAAGCTTTCTTTTTAGATAAGTGGAGCAATTCCTCTTCCAACACCCAATTTCTCCACAAAAGAAATAAGATCCATCTATGTGGGCTTTCTTGGACTTTCTTTGGCTTAAAGGTGTTTATTTCATGAAACATGGGCCTCATATATCACACAAGATGAATTTTTTCAACCTAGCATTATTCCATTGTTTCAACTAGTTTAAAAAAAATATCATTGTATTTATTGGAATATTGCTTAACCCCTTATATCAGCAAATATATGTCTAAATTATCCAAGACTTCCTAGAAGACAGGAATAACTATTCCTAGTGTGATGTTAGAAGCATCTTGAGCATCACATTGATGCCTTTAGTATGTATCTTGTTCAGGTTTATTGCTTAAAGCAAGTTGTTTATGACTAGGACCTATAAGTGTATACAAATTCACATCTCTCATGAGTTTGTCTCTCAAGACATGAACCCATTTGTTGAAGTTGTATCTATCGAATGTTATTGTTTTATCAAGGCATTTAAATAAAATGATAATTCATGGTAATAAGAGTGGAATATTTATATATACAAAATTTTAACAAAATTCATTTAATAATTTCAATATTAAATCTTTAATAATTAATACCTTTTAGTTTCCAAAAACATTAATTATCGAAGTCTTGGATCCAAGTTGCAAAAGAAATAAATTATTAGGTATCCTTTATCCCATCTATCTATATTCAATCGGGTAGATATCGATTATCAATTATATTGTACTATATAATTCCTAGATTTATAAAATCGTTAATAACAAATTTAATTAGACGTGTTTGATCCCGCCTATGCCTCAGAACTCTCTATCTTAGGTATCCTTTATCAAAAAATATTTCCGATTAGATAATCCAATTCGAAAAACTTGTGTAATTGGACTATAACTTTGTTATAGAAATCATGAAAACACCCCGACCATCAAAAGATAACACTAAGCGATTATGTGTCATTTTATCCCACTAGTGCATTCAAGGGATGTTCGAGTGTTCTTCAAAATGGATTGCATATATTTGAGGTTTATAAGAGGTCTTTGATGTTTTTATATTTTTAGTTTAAAAAATATATTATATCACGGTTATTACATGTATCCAATAAACCATGGTATACTTTAAAAATCTTATGTTACATAAAATCAAAACAAATTATTCAAACATTATAACCTTTTATGCTCAAAGTGGAACTTTGATAATTAAAATGAAAAAGACGAAGTTAATTAAAAAATTGAAGAAAGTAGGATTTGAACCTGCGACTTTGGGAAAGCTTAAAGACGCGTCATCCAGTTGAACTAAAGTAACTTATGTTTTCTAAAATTGAATAACTTTAATATTTTATTGATTAATGTGGTAGCCCATGACCCATATGTCATCCATGACATTATAAGTAACCCATAATATAAACACTAAAGTAACCTACACTAAATATATATATATATATATATATATATATATATATATATATATATATATATATATATAAACTTCACCAAGTTAGGAATTGTAAGCTTTTGTTGACCTTCATTTTTGCCACATGATTTTCTAAAATTCCACGCTTTTAGTCCGTTAATCACAACACAACATATTTACTAATGAAGTAAAAACATCAACTAACTACTGATCAAGTAAATTACTATATATTCATACATCAAGTAATAACATGCATCAAGTTACTACTTACCAAGTAAATTACTATATATTTATATATCAACAAACAACTCATAAATGATCCCAAACTCACTAGATAACCTAACGAAACAAGCATCCCCCTAACAAATTTGACACCTAAACATCCATTTGGGTACTTCAACAAAAGCGTCTGACACACTAATAACAAACCTATGCATTGCACAAGTTCTATCAAAGCCATGGAAGTGTACATGTTTTCTCCTGTCCCTATTTAAGTGGAAAAGAACCTTGGACCAGATTGCTCTAAGATTTCAAGTACCTATTGTTCTTCGGTAAGAATTGTTCAACATGTCCAAAGCTTCTTGCTTCCTTTGTCTGCCATCTACTATTAGCATTATTCCCATGACAAATGTTGAATCCAAATGTCCCAATGTAGATGCTTCTTCAAGCATCGTTTTCCCTTCATGATCATCTTCAAAGAAAGTTAAATTAATATGAAAAAAAAACATTAAACACATAATTTCAATGCAAAATAAGAAACTGATTACTACTATGCATATATATATATATATATATATATATATATACACACACACACACACACACATATATATATATATATATGTATGTATGTATGTATGTATGACAACGTATCAATTCTTCCCTGAACAAAACATTTGGATTTCTCATCTCTTTGCGTTTGTTGACAACTACTAATTTATCTTCAGACCATCGACGAAATCGTAATCCATCTACATCCATATGCTTGTGTATTTTTTCTGTTTTTGCTACCTCGTTCAAGATTTCGCAACTTCAAATGAAACAAAATGTTGGCCCCTAACTGTAAGCTGCATCTCGGGCAAGAAATGTGGAGCGGATGAAATCTCTCTACAGAACACGGGTGCAATCGTCGTTCTTGCTGCATGTCTTGATTTCAACTTTTCCAAATTTATCTTGAAAGAATTGATTGTGAATATTAAAGGAAAGAAAATACATAAATTTCTCATGTACCCATGGTTTCTATAGATGATCATCATCAACCAATTCCCAAAGATTGAAAAAGAAGGAGAAACTTTAGACATGAAATCCCTTGAGTCAAACACCTTTGGTCTAATGAAATAGAATCGTAAAGGTAAATACTCGTTCGAAGGAAAGCAGCCCTTGGTGAAATTTGGGATGTTTTCTGAATCAAGTGATGAATATGAGTTTGATAACTCTTCTGGCCACATGGAATCTGAAGATGATGTTATTACTGTTTCTTAGCATGAAGAGTGAAGAGTTCCTCCTATTGCAATTATAGCAAAGGAAATTGATAATATGATCAATATGGAGGTGCAAAGTGACTTCAATAAGAGTCAAGATACGGATGATGATGATGATGATGATGATGATGATTGTCACACCCCTAAACCAGAACGGCGGAAACATTCGGGGGCGGAGGATGTCATATTCAGTATCATAACAGTTCATAGAAAGGAAAGTACACACCACCATACATATATAAAGGTTTTAAAAATGTTTACATAATTGTATTCATTACATGTTCAAAAGATAAATACATAAACATCTTTCAAAAGAAGTAATTAACGCCAGCGCGTTAATCCCAAAAGTTAATTTCCAAACCTGCTTAGCGGTTCCCTGAGAATACAAGTTATTTCAAAGAGATAGTGTCAACAATTATGTTGTTGAGTTCGTAGGTGGTTTAGAAAATTTGAATGCGATTCCAAAATGGGTGTATGTTTTCCAAGAAAATCCCTTATTTTCTTATAAAAGTATGAAATGCATGAGAGTATTTGTGTTTGAAAAATGTAGATAGTTGAATCAAGAAAATCCCTTATTTTCCTATAGTTGTTTAATGTTCACGAATAAAAATTGGAAGCAAGCCACATGCTTTTAAACATAGATCTATATAATAAATCTATCAGAGGATTACCGTTTGTTAGATAAAGAATAGTTTTAATAACTACTCGTTCATCAATCAGAAGTACTATAATAATTGTGTATCCGATGAGTTTTATAGCCATACTAAACATAATATGCCTGTAGCGACGTTCTTCAGGCATCGTAGCGTTATGTCAACTGTCACCCCAAAGGACGGACTGTAGCTAACAGTCAGGGCGTGGGATCATGACTTCCCGTATAGATCTATACACATTTGACACGTTCTCCTAACGGGAGACTCTGGTTATAGAAAGGACTTACAGCATTACTTTCTAATAAGAAAGTAGTGTTTGAAGATATACACATCTCATGGATTCTCAAGTAAGTCTGTATTAAAGTGATAGTTTTGTATGCAAAGTTTATCCTGTTTCACAATGTTTGACAAAACATAAATCATATGTTTTTAGAATGTATAAAACGACTTAGCAACGAAAGGTACTTTGAAATCACTATATACTTTGTTTAAGTCTAATACACGTAAAGTATGACATGGGTTTTCCATAGTAGTAATGAATTCCAAGTGATTTATTCGATAAAACAAGTGAAGTGAAACTTTATAAAATACACGATAATAACCGTATGTTTACTTGTATTTCCCCCCTAAAAGAGTATAAAAGAATTTAAAATGTATTTAAAGTGTGTTTAAAAGGGGTATGAACTCACATGATAGTTTGATGAAGGTGTGACGAAAATCGAGCGGAACTTTGGCTTGAAAAAGCGAATTTTCTCGGCATTTCTCGGGAGTAAAATCGACCTTCGGGACTTGCACAAAATGACCAGGGGTTTGGGGTAGTGCGAGCATGGAAAACGAGGCAAAACGCAAGAAAAGTGAGAGAATGAGCAATTTTTCCGAGAACACTCGCATCCCTTTTATAGGAGGCTGGAACCGCCTCGGTACGCGGGGCGTACGCTTGTACGCGGGGCCTACGCGTACGTCATTCATGACCGAGTCCTCGACTGACTCGGACTTCGGATGGGACGGGGGTAGGCTCGCATAGGGGCGGCGTGGACGATCCGAGGCCAAGGCCATGAGTACGCGGGGCGTACTTGTGTGACTCAGACTTCGGATAATACCGAAGTTTTGAATAAAAATATATATTAATTATTTATCAAACATCAAAAATTCATATCTCCTTCATACGAACTCCATTTTCGACGTTCTTTATATCCACGCATAGGTGAGACTAAGATCTACAACTTTCGTTTAGATTCCCTCGGCAAATTCCGAAATTATTTTTATTATTTATTTATTAAAATGACGTGGTTAAGGAATTTCCTTAGAAATTCATTACTTTTTCATACGATGCCCGATTTGAGCGTTCTTTTTATGCACGTATGTAGTTTAACGATATCTATGACTTTCCTTTAGAAACATAAGGTCAAAAAGTGTTTTATTGAAACTTTGCGTTTTTATGTGACTTCGTATCACCGGTTTTTGTCGGAAAACTTAGAATGATCATAACTTCTTCGTTATAACTAGGATTTTTGTGTTATTTATATGTTTGGAAACCTTAAGATGATATTTACTACATAGCGTACTCCAAACAGATTCTTTGAATACTTCATTTTTCGATGATATTCTAATCCCTTTTTCAAAGAGGTTACAAGACTCGATCTTTAATGACCTGAAATGACGGGTTGTTACATCATCCCCCCGTTAGAGGGAATTTCGTCCTGAAATTTTAATACAAAAAAAAAAGTTTTAGGGGCTGAGGAAGAGGTGTGGATACTTCTATTGCATTTGATCTTCTCGTTCCCACGTGAACTCAGGTCCCCTCTTAGCATTCCATCGGACCTTTACTATTGGAATGCGGCTCTGTTTAGTTCATTTAACTTCCCTATCCATGATCTCGACGGGTTCTTCCACAAAGTTAAGATTATCATTTAGTTCGATTTCATCGAGTGGAATTACAAGTGTTTCGTCGGACAAACACTTCTTCAGGTTCGATACGTGGAATACTGGATGTACTTTGTTAAGCTCGATTGGAAGTCGGAGTTTGTAGGCTACTAGACCAACTCTTGAAATGATTTCGAAGGGTCCAATGTACTTAGGATTTAGCTTCCCATGTTTTGCAAAGCGTATCATGCCCTTCCAGGGTGAGACCATCAGTAGTACAACCATCGCCAATCTGAAATTCCAAGGGTTTACGTCTTTTGTCGGCATAGCTCTTTTGCCTATCCCTTGAGGATTTCAGTTGTTCTCGTATTTGCACGATCTTTTCAGTAGTTTCTATGATGATCTCCGGACCAGCGAGGGTGCTATCAGGGACTAGACCTTTTCCTAATTGTGTGTCGCCCACTTCCATCCAGCACAGAGGTGATCTGCACTTACGACCGTCAAGGGCTTCAAATGGAGCAGTCTTGATACTAGTATGATAACTATTGTTATAAGAGAACTCGACCAAAGGTAAGTGAACATCCCATGCCTTACCAAAGTCGATTACACATGCTCGCAACATGTCTTCCAAGGTTTGGATCGTCCTCTCACTCTGTCCGTCAATTTGGGGGTGACAGGTTGTAGTCATGTCCAATCTTGTTCCCATGGATTTTTGCAATGATTGCCAGAATCTGGAAGTGAATCTGATGTCCCTGTCCGAGATGATAGACATTGGCACTCCATGGAGTCGTACGATCTCTCGGATGTAGGTTCTCGATAGCTTTTCCATTTTATCAGCTTCCTTGATCGTTAAGAAATGAGCGGACTTGGTTAATCTATCGACGATTACCCAAATAGTATCTTGGCCACCCTGAGTTTTGGGCAGTTTCATTATGAACTCCATGGAAATCTGCATCTATTTCCAATCAGGTATTTCAGGTTGTTGGAGTAGTCTTGAGGGTTTCTGGTGTTCTATTTTTATCTTGGCGCAAGTCAAACACTTGCTCACATAGGTAGCAATCTCCGCTTTCATGTTTGGCCACCAGTAGAGTTGCTTGAGATCTTGATACATCTTGTCTGACCCGGGGTGTACGGAGTATGGAGTCTTGTGCGCCTCACTCATAACTACCTCTCTGAATCCACCAAACTTGGGTGTCCATATTCGGTTCATGAGGCATGCTTCGTCACTCTTGATTTCTAAGTTCTTGTCCATTCCCCTAAGGGTCTCACTTGTCACGTTTTCGGGTTTCAAGGCCTCTATTTGAGCTTCCTTGACTTGTGCTGACAGGTGAGAATGGATCGACATGGCTAATGACTTCACTCTTCGGCCAGAGTACTCCTTATGACTAAGGGCATCTGCCACGACGTTTGCCTTTCCTGGATGATAGCGAATCTCACATTCGTAGTCGTTGAGAAATTCGACCCAACATTGATGTCTCATGTTCAACTCCTTCTGGTTGAAGATGTGTTGGAGGATCTTGTGGTCTGTAAAGGTAGTGCACTTGGTACCGTATAGGTAGTGTCTCCATATTTTAAGAGCGAAGACCACCGCCCCAAATTCTAAGTCATGACTGGTGTAGTTGACCTCATGCGTTTTCAATTGTCGTGAGGCATATGCAATAACCTTTCCCCTCTGCATTAGCACGCAGCCCAGCCCTTGCTTCGAAGAGTCGCAATACACCACAAAATCTTCGGTCCCTTCTGGAAGAGAAAGGATGGGCGCACTGCAAAGGGCCTGTTGCAAAGTCTGAAATGCAGCATCTTACTTTTCTACCCAGTTGTAGGTCACACCTTTCTGGGTTAAAGCGGTAAGAGGCTTTGCGATGCTGGAGAAATTCTGAATGAACCTTCGATAATAACCAGCAAGACCTAGAAATTGGCGAATTTCTGTTGGTGCAGTTGGTGCAGACCAGTTTTTGATAGCCTTGATTTTTTATGGATCCACGTGGATTCCTTCCTTGCTGACCATGTGACCGAGGAAGTCCACCTTTCTAATCCAAAACTCACATTTTGAGAATTTTGCATACAGTCTCTCAGTCCGTAACATCTCTAAGACTTGCCTCAGATGTTGACTATGCTCTTCTTTATTCTTTGAATAAATGAGTATGTCGTCTATGAATACTATCACAAATTTATCCAAGAATGGACGACATACCCGATTCATTAGATCCATGAATACGACCGGGGCATTGGTTAGTCCGAACGGCATCACTACGAACTCGTAATATCCGTATCTCGTTCGGAAGGCCGTCTTGGGAACATCACTCTCCAGGACTCGCAGCTGGTGATATCCCGACCTCAAATCGATCTTGGAGAAGTAGTTGGCCCCTTGGAGTTGGTCGAATAAGTCATCGATTCGGGGTAGGGGTATCGGTTCTTGATGGTAAGTTTGTTGAGTTCTCGGTAGTCGAT